AATAATACTGAAAATCCAGTGCCTGCCTTGCAAGCACAAGGTCCTGAGTTCAATCCCCAGTACCAAAAAAAAAAAAAAGAATAATACTGAAATAGGCAAACTTTTTCATCAGAAGACTTGTGATGACAAAACAGCTTTCATGATTCTAGGCCACCAATAAACTAGAACCATGAGAATCCTAACTTATCTCTGAATTTACATTTTTATTTAACTGCTGTAAAATAATCTTCCTTTTCTGATCAGTATCTGAGTAAGATGATTTCATTTACAAAGACAAAACACATACATCCTCCTGAGTTAAAAATAAGCCCAACAATCATGCCAAGTCCTCCTTATCAATCCAGTCACAAATCAGGAAATGCCAAGTGTGAAAAAAAGTCAGGTTGGTGTGCATGTCACAAAACGGAGCTTCGCCTCAGATCCACAACCGGGAGCCAGTTCACTCGTTAAACTTTAGATATTTCACCTTTCAGCCTCTAAAAGCAATTAGTCTCCCTGCAGGGCCACCTGTCAAGTGCGTTTCTATTCTTGGTAGATCTGTCACCTGGGTGAACATAATCAGCTGATGCTTAATATCAGCCCTCGGTGTGCTCCAGCCCAGGGGAGAGAGCGTGGGTGTACTGCCCAGGTGGCTGACTGCTGGAAACACCTAGGCGACCGGAAGCGGAGCCACCTGGGGGGCGGACGAGGCAAAATGAAAAAGCCCAGCAAGAGAGGATGGGAATTTATATAGCAGCTAAAATCCCAGGCCTCCGGTACAAAAATTACAGAATCCTAGAGCTGGAAAAGCTCCCGCATGTCCTGTCATCTCACGCAGCTTCCCTCCCAGCACAGACGGGACCCTCCATAGCAGCCACCCCAGAGTCATCCAGTGCTGCCATCCATACACGCTCCCAGCAGCACAAAGCTCACCAGCTCTCAAAATGGCCTGTTCCATCAAGGATAACTACTATTTTTAGCAAGATTTCTCTCTACATGAAGTTAAAAATTGATAGCTTACTAGTATGTGGGTCTAATGATAACTAATGCCTTGTTGGCACTCAATAAACATTAAATGAATGAATAATGAATAAATGGGTTCTTAAAGACCAACTGACACTTAACAAAAGTAACCAAGAATCTAAGTTTTCAATTATTCTTTTTTCAGTGTTAGGGGTCAAACCCAGGGCCTCTTGGCATGCTACACATTGGTTTACCACTAAGTTAGATGGCTAAATAAATAAACAAAAGGACAAGCTCAATTCATTTAACATGTCTTATGTAGGGATGGTCACACGCATTAGTGGGACATTCCCAAGTTCTACCACGGCTCTCAACATCCTGTGATACATGCCTGCCCCTCAAAGGTGGTGGTCCCTCCCTCGAGGAGTTTACTGTCTCACTTGCATTTCTTTAAGAGTTAAAACCAAAGTGCCAATAAAAAGTAACCATGACAGGCAAATGCTACAGAGAACAGGTGCAAGTGTATTTACTTTGTTTTTTGCAGGGCGAGCAAAAGGCCATGGGCCACTGAAGATGACATGGGGAAGAAAGTGTAGGCTGTTGCTTCATTTACAACTAGATTTCCAAATCTATAGTTCTCAACAGCTGCGCCTGTTAAATGCAGGCATCAAGGCCTCATCTGCCAGAACACGAGGAGATCAACCAGTTTACCTTCTACAAGTCCATCCAGTTGTAAGTTCTGTTTCTTACAGTCAGGGACAGAGGATACTAGTGACTGGAAGAAGCCCAACTGAGCCACCATCCAAAGGAGACAAGGGCAGGGAAACCAAGCAAGACACAGGAGAGACACGGGATGGATAGTCACAGGAGCAACTGAGTAAAATACATGGGCGCCTACCATCTCTGAGGCTAGATATAAATATTTCCTTCACTGGCCAGACACAGGTCTCTCAAATTGGAAGCTGATTGCAAATCTTTTGCTCAGAGAAACAGCTGGTAAACTCTGACTTCGAAAGCAAAAAAAGTATCTGGTATTTTAAAAAAAAAATGTACAATGGAGTACTACTCTGCCATAAAGAAAGACAAACTTCAAAAATTTGTAAGAAAATGGGTGTACCTCAAGACGATAATCTTAAGTGAAACAAATCAGTCACATAAGTTTAAATATGGCATTGTTTCACTTGTGTGAAAAATCCAAAGGGTAAATAAGGAGCAAAATGGAAGACAGATACTGGGAAGCAGGAAGAACATGTTCAAATGGGAAGGGGAAAGGAAAGGAAGGGAAAAGGAAAAAAAAGAGAATGGAAGGAAAAAGATGGAAACAAAGGTTTGTAAATGGGGAGGAGATGAAGGGTTGAAGGGAGGGGATGGGAATAGGGAAAAAAAGAATTAAGATATACTATGTACAGGTACAAATTCTCTATGATGAATGGGATCAAATGTATGACAAATATGTACTAACAAAAAAAAATAAAGTCAAAAACATTAAAAAATTTTAAAAATTGCATCACTGTTACACAGAATCATTCACCAAGGCAGTTTTAACCACAGGCATTAAAGTCAAGAACAAACAATCAAAGACTCCCTGAGGCTAACAGTCTTGCTTTAGTGAATGGTGTGATGGAAAAATAGCTGGCACAGGTAGCCCCAGCTGTGGCAGGAGAGGACCATCCCCACCCCAGGGTGGCTGCCAAAGGCACCTCTGGGAGCAGCAGGCTCTGCTTGGGTTGCCTGACAACAAAGCATATAACTGATGATCACCACCATCATTATGAAGGACTGGTTCTAATTCTAGTCTAAATGATTCTAATTCTAATCTAACATGTTACCTAGTCTTAGGCTCAGAAACTTTTTCTGGCTAGTCTTTAGCTTTTCTAACGATCACCATTGTACCCTCTCTGTGCTCTGCAGGTCTAACAACAAACTTAATGAAAACCACAATAAAATTCAAGCATCATTAAGTCTCTAATAGGTCTCCGATCAAAAATTTGAGATTTTTTTTTTTACTTGTTTTTGGTGCTGGAGATGGAATCTAGGGTCTTCCAAGTGCTAGACAAGCACTCTACCACTAAGCTTCCTTCATCCCTAGGCCCCAAATCATAAATCTTTTCTAAAGGAAGTCTTAATAAGCATAATAAATTGGTTTCTTTTTCTAGATTAGTGTCTTCATGTTCGAGCTGTAACCAAGCATCACTTTGTCATTTAACAAAAACAATAGACTGCATCCCATCTTTGAAATAGATATAAATTGTTGAGTGTGCCACTGAAATGGATTACAAGAAGAGCGACACCGAGCTATTTGACTGCGCTTGTGAGATTATACTTGATTTTTACTCGTTTGAAATTTCCTGTGCTTCTTGTAATGAGCATGCATTGCTTTTGGATAAACAAAAACCTGTAACAGAAATTTCATTTGGGAAGCAAATGAACTAGGAATTGTTAATCCTTCCCTAGCCTCATGCCAGGTAAAGAGTGAGGTCCCAGCAGCAGGGTCCTGGGGCTCATGCCTGCAAAGTGACCATGGCACCAAAGGTCACCCCCTCAGCTTCACCTCACGTGCCATCCTAAAGGTCCAGGCAAATGTAAGTGTTAAGACGGGACATTAATCCAGATTCCACTCTGTCTGAGAATTGCAACAAGAACTCACAATCCATTCTTTCAAAGTTTAACCTCTTTTTTTCTGGTCAAATTTTCATCATTCATTTTTCCAAGACACTTTAGAAATGGGACTTATAAAATATGGACAAAAAATTAAGACTTTCAGTCTCTCCTGTCAGGGCTAACAATTCATTCTTACATTTTCAGTTCTATAAATATGTCAGATGTGTTGCCTACAACCTAAGGTAGGTCTGTCCTGCAGCTATGCTCCACTTACTAACTTATTATTCCTTCCTAGTAACATGACATCTACAGTGACTGGGCTCCATCGGGTGTTATGCTTCACCTCATCTGATCCTCAGGCAACACTGTCAGTACAAAGACCGCGCCCACTACCCCCATTTTCTTTTATCTTTTTTTGAGAAGACTGAGGTTCAAGGTCACAGCACAGAAAGCCAGTTTCTCAGAAACCCGGTTTCTCATCAAAGCTCCCTGCAAGTCTCAACTAAATTCAGGGGGCCCCGTGTGGCATGCCTGAGCACAATGAAACTAAATTTCTTTTTAAATGCCCTGATATGTATACTTTAATCAAACTGATATTCTCAGATTACTCCAAATTATTTAGGCCTTGCTTAGTAAAAACAGCAACTAAGGTTTGAGAGATCTTGCTGTCTATCCCAGGGGGTCCACATCCACCATTCATTAATCTCATGACAACACTGCCCTATAGGTACCATAATGGGCTCCATTTTACAAATGGGGAAACCGAGGCACAACTGAGTCTAGGACTGAGGTGCAGAAGGCTGTCTCCTCCACCTCCTGTGGCCCGGTGTTATCCAGAGAAGTCGCGTTTGCAAAGTGCTTTAGCACAGAGCAAAGCTAAGGAGGAGGCCCGGGAGGCCAGATAATCTCAGTGTGCTCTCACATTTGAGGAAACTGAGGCTGCCAGGTCTAAGGACGCGTCTGAGACGCTCGGCCCCCTCCTGGTCCAGCCAGGGCCCTGCGCAGCTTTCCCTAACTCCACATCTCACTCGCCTAGAAAAACTATTCTTTTGCGCTTGTTTTAAACGTGAGCGGATGGAGTCCCGTCATTGTTGAAAGCGGCCATCCCGCAAGCTCCATGTCATCACTGGGGGCTGGCGGGTGGCCCACGCTCCGGCCGCGTGCGGCACCGACCCAAGTAGGAAGTGGGCGGCGAGGCCCGGGCAGCAACAGCTGGGAGCGGGGTTCTCGCCCCCTCATCTTCCCGAGTCCCGCGGGTCTGGGGCGCGCCTGGGGAGCAGTGCCACGCGAGGCCGGACTAGGGACTCGCCAGCTGCGGGTGCCGGGTCCCCGCCGGCGCAGGACGGGGCCAGTGACCTGCTCTACCCACCCCTGCATCCTGCCTCGGCCTCCCTCACCTCTAAAGGGGCGCCCCGACCTGGCGACTTCCGGGGCAGCGCGCCGGACCCCCGCCTTACCTGAGCGGTGGCTGCTGTCGCCAGCCGGGGCACCCTGGGGACCCCCACCGGGCATGCTCCGGCCGGCAGCCGAAGCGGGGCGGGGGCGGGGGCCGGGGCCGGGGCCGGGCCGCTCTTTCCTCCCGCGGAGCCTGGCGTTTCCTACCCGGCTCGGGGCCTCGCATACGCGCGCACACTCGCGCACACACGCGCTCACGGCCAGGCACGGGCTGGAGCGAGCGGGAGCTAGCCACCTTCGAAAGTTCGCTTTTGCCTGTGACTCTTTCCGGGCAAAATCGAGGGGGGAAGTGCGGTGGGGGCGGCGCCCAGGGAAAGACAGGCTGGGGGTCCGGGTGGGTGCGAGGCGCCTCCCAGGCGCTTCAGGAAGTAACCGGGGGATCCTGGATCCGGGGCTGTGCTCCAAGCCGAGCAACCGCAGCTGGATCACCACTGGCTACTTTTCGTCTGACTCCCTCAAGGGAGCACCAGCTTGGGATCATGGGTGCAGGAAGTGCCCCAGGAGTTCCTGTCTTCATGGCCTCACCTCTGGGCAGGAGGGCAATCCTGCAAGCTGGAATTCGCCAAGTGCCAGAGGCTTGGCGCAAAAGCGTTGCAGAAGCTATGGGTAGGAGGGTGCCTTGTGAAGAAGTCCCGGAGACTTTGCAGGAACGTTTTAGAACTAGGAGAGTTCTAGAAAATGGATGCACCTCAAGACCATAATGCTAAGTGAAATAAATCAGACACACGAGGTTAAATGTCGCATGGTTTCTCCTACATGAGAAACCCAAAATATAAATAAAGAGCAAAATGAAAGATAGTAGTAAACAAGGAAATAGATCTTTTGCAAGTGGAAAGGAAATCAAGAGATAGAGACATGGGAAAAGAGGTGTAAAAAAATTAAAATGTATTACGACCGTGTACCAACTCCCTGTGATGTAACCATTATGTACTGTGAGCATATATTAATAAAAATTAAAATGTTTAAACTAGAGGAGGGCCCAAGGCCTTGAAGAGATGAGGACCAGATGCCTGAAGGCACAGGCATGCTTAGAAAGCATCATGGGGCTGAGTATGAGGTGGGTACTGAGGGTGTGGAGATCTGGGGGAAGGAATACAGAGTTGGACTGGGCTAAACTTATTGATACAAACCCCTAAGCAGAGGTTCTGGGTTCGCTGCAGTAGCTGGCAGGGTTGGGAACTGATATGATTCATGATTGGTTGACTCAAACGTGGACCAAGAAGTGGCCCGGGCTAAGTGAAGTTAAAATTCGAGCTCTTCCCTGGTGTCCTAGAGGAAGAGCTAAAAGCCTTAGGGAGGCAGAGGCTATTAGAGTGGGTTTGTTATGTGCAACCTACTCCCCCATCAAACCTTTCACAACTGCAAGAAAGAAACCTGTGACCAGCATCTGTGGTTGGTCTTCTCTATAGGTAAGAAATTACAGTTGGACCCTCACATATGATAGAGTAATTGAGGTTCAGGGTGAGAGGGCCAATGGGTGGCAGTAAATCATCAAAGGTTAGACAGGGATGATCATCCTAAAGACAGGAGAGTCAAAGCAGCCATATCTGCCATAGTCTGATTTCCAGAGGCCTTTGGTGTTGATTAGTTGAACGTGGCATTCGTAAAGCTGAAGCGGATGTATGCACTACCACATTCTTACTTGATCTGTAAAAACAGAAAGTTCTAGGTCAAGTGAACAAGATTCTAACTTGAGTTATCAAATCAGAGAATCATGGCCCTTCCTTCAATTCCCAGACTGGAGTCAGTTTACAGACCCAGAACACCTTGAATGAAGGGGAGGTTGGTTTCCTCAAGGAAGCTCCCTACTACACTGTTAATCTTAAAATTACGCTGTTAAAACATTATATCCTGTTGTTTTTCCAGCCTTCCCCAAAGCAACATGTCACCTTTTAACAGGCTAACTCTCCATCAGGAAAAAGGAAAGGATCAGACTTTTCAAGAATTCCAGCACATTGGCTCTGAAATGACACTAATTCCAGAAAACCCAAATATCCCTGTGATCCACTAATCAGAAGGGTCTTAGGGAGGTCAGATGATCAACAGAGTTTTAGCATGGGTTCATCTCACAGTGGGTCCAGGGGACACTGTACTCATCCTGTGGTTAATTCTCCAGTTCTGGAATTGGAATAGACAACAAGTGGCAAAGTCCTCACAGAGGGCCTCTGCCCTGTGGAGTGAGGATATTGTGGTAAGAAAGACCAAGGAAAAGCCACCACAAGTGTCTCCACCTAGGAAAACAGATAAATCTAGCCCCACATTCCAAGAGCGACTAAGGAGAGTAAGGCCACCATCAAGGACTTGAAGGATGCAAGGATAGTGACTACTTATGACTGAGTTCTGGGGTCTCCAACTCCCCTTCCCTTACACAAAGGCCACACTGGTCTATTACACTGAGGACATTGTGCTGACTGGGCCCAGTGAATGAGACTTCCTGGTGAGATGTTTACATGTCAGAGGGTGGAAAATACCTCTGACAAAGACTCTGGGGCCTTCCAGTTGCTGGATTTCCTAGGGACCCAGTGATGCAGGGCATGTTAAGATCACCCTTCCAAGGTGAAGGGTAAACGTAGTATCTGTCCTCTCTTACAACTAAAATATAAAACTAGAGGTGTAACATCTCTTCAGATTTTATAAGCAACACATTGCTCGTTTGAGTAATTACTCCAGCCTGTTTACCAAATGACCCAAAAAGCTGCTATGGGGCTGGTGCTGCTCCTCAGTGGTACAGCACTTGAGCCTGCATGCATGAGACCCTGGGTTCAACACCAGCTCCAAAAAACAAACAAACAAACAAAACCTGCTGGTTCTGAATGAAGCCCATGAAAAAGCAGCCTCTGTTACAGGCTTAGCTACCAGGCAGGCTGCTCTTGGAAGGAAGCAGATGCAGCAAGGCTGTTTGGAGCCCATGTCAGGGATCTACGGGTGAGTCACAGCACACATCCTCAGGATTTGGGGATGGGGCCTGCTGTCTTCTGCAGATAACCATTCTGCTTTTAAGAGACAGCTTAGACTTACTTCAAGGCTCACCTTGAGGCACTAAGTGACCATGAGACCTGAGGTGCCCATCACAAACCGGGTTCTGATCCACCAAGCCATAAATCTGAGTGTGCACAGAGTACCCAGACATCAAATAGAAGTAATGTGTAAGAGATTAGGCCTAAGGCAACCCAAAGTCACAAGTAAGCCACATGAAGAAATGCTCAGATGCCCAAGGTCCCAGCCACTTCTCCCCTAGCCCACCACTGTGGCCTCCTGGGCATTCTCCTACAGTCAGTTGACAGAAGAAAAGGAAATGTGGGCCTGGCTCGCAGAGGTTTGTGCATGATAGTCAGGCTCCTCCTCTTGGAAGCAGGCAGATGCAGCCCCTCTGGAGGACACCCTGCAGTGCTGAGAACTCCTCCCAGTGGGAGAACTCCAAGCAGAGCACTTGTCATTTAGGCTGCATGGGAGAAGAAATGGCTGGAAGTGCACTACACATCAACTAATGAGCTGTGGCCGAGGCCTGGTTCAACGGTGAGGGACTTGAAGGGAATCTGACCAGAGAACTGGTCACAAGGAGACCTGAAGAAGAGGTATATGGACAGGCTTCTTTGCATGGATCAAAACAAGAGCAGAAATCTATGTCCCATGTGAATGCTTACCCAAAGGAGACCTCCACAGAGTTCTTGGATAATTCACATGGTCCTGAACAACAGGCAGCCTCTTCCCAGTCATTCTGTCATTGGCCAGAAGGCTCAGGTGCACAGTGGCCATGGCAGCAGGATGGAGGTTGTTCCTGTGGCACTCACCAAGGCTGACCTGGCAACTGCCACTGCTGAGCGCCCATCTCCCAGCTGCAGAGACCAACACCAAGCCCCGGATGTACACATTGCCCAGGTTTTCTGGTGGTGGCTGGGTCACCCTGAGCTACTTCCATCGTGGGAGGGGTGGCATTTTGCCCCCACTGGAATAAACATTTACTGGGATGTGTGTTCATCTTCCCTCATAAACATTTCTGTTGAAGTCCACGAACTTACAGGATGCCTTTTCCTCCTCAGTGTTCCCCACAGCTCTGCTTCTGGCCAGGGAAATCCCATGGTCCTAAAGTTAACAGGCAGAATGGCCTTCGAGGTCTCAGTTATGGCATTCAGGTGCCACTGCCTTGCACTAGGCCAGTGCAGGCTGCTCAGAAGGAGGTCTGTCTGTACCAAAGTCCCCTTCCCACATGGGGTATCATTTCTCCCACCAGCAGGTTCTTGAGCCCAGGGATCAAGGGGTGAACACAGGAGTGGATGAACTCACTATCAGCCCAGGTGACCATTAGCAAACTGCTTCTTGTGTCCTTGACCTTATGCTCCACTGGCCTATCTCCCACAATGGACAGATCATGACCCCACTGAGCCTGCCCAACCATTGCAGACTCCTCATGCCTGGGTCTCCAGGTGAGGAGAGAGGCTACTGTGCAGGCCTAGGGGACTGAGTCTCCCTGGCAGTCTGCTGGCTCCAGGCCTCTGTTATAGGGACCACAATTGTCTCCCTTTAGTTTCATGGCAGACTTACATCTCAAGCAATGCTGTATTAATTAGGACTCTTACTTGCAGCTGACCAAAACTAATACTTCTACCTAAGTATAAAACACAAGCCAGTGAGGGTCCAAGGGGAGGCCTCATGGGGTCTGAAGCATGGTCCAGCTGCTCCTCTCCTGGTGAGGACTGAGCACCAGGTGTCCTGCTGTCTGTGACCAAACAGATGACACCTTTAGTCTCCCTCCGCTTTCAGCCCTGGATTTTGAGACATGGACAGCTGGGAGCAAGTAAGGATGGGGTCATTGTTCTGTCAATATTCTTTTATTTAAAGGATCAGAAAGCTCTTCCTCATTTTCATGACAGCAGAAAGGGGCGGCATCACAGGTGCTGATCTGAGTCATAGCCTAGGACCTCTCCATCTCTACCCAGTGAGCAGTCACTCTGCCTGTAGAAACCATGCACACTTGGGCTGGGGATTTAGCTCAGTGGCACTGAGCCTGCCTTGTAAGCACAAGGTCCTGAGTTTGATCCCTGGTACCACAAAAAAAGAAACAAACATGCACACCCACAGATTATGTTTACACAGACAATGAGCAGTCAGTACCAGCATGTGGATCTGTAGCAAGAAGCCAGGAGCCCTGAGGAAATGAAATGTGAAAGCCTTTTGCCAGATCACTGAGACTCTCCAAAGTTTACTTGTGATCTGGATGTGATGGTGCAAGTCTGTAATCTCAGCACTTGGGAGGCTGAGGCAGGTGATTTGCTGTAAATTCCAGGACAGCCTAGGCTACATAGTGAGTTCAAGGCCAGCCTGAATTACAAAGTAACACCCTGTTTCAAAAAACCAAAAAAAAAGTTTACTTGTAATAACTCATATTTATTGAGCATGCTCTACATGGAGGACATGGTTCTACACAAATGAAGCTCATTAAATTAATTTCACCTTTAAAACAATTTTTC